CTCCTAAAATGAACGTGTATTAAAACGATTTTTTTTTTAATCCACGGTTATTGTCCATAATTGTCTATTACACGATTAATTGTGCCAGCGCTAGTTGTAACTTATAGATATCTCTAAGTACAATAAGAAATGGGACCTGCTTGCTTCCTCTCTTTCATTGACTGATTCTTAATGAAAACAAATAAAATGCAAGTAAACAAATAAAATGCAACACGGCCCTTAGTGAAGGGTCATTCATAAGGCAGTGTCATTCTTATAACATAAACTCTAGGGCTGCTATCCTGTTGGTCCTGGACACACAAAATAACAACAGTTCTGCACCATATTCATTCATGACACCGAGCAGGCACTGAATGATGACCTATCAACATAGTTGTTAAAGTGTTCAATTCATGAAAGAGTTTACTTGTATTTTTCAGTAGGCTGTCTAAAATCATCTAAGACGTTGTCCACCAAAAAGAACAGGACATGTAGCTATGTCTGATGACTGACCAATACATGACAAGCCTTGAATAGTAACGTTAAGTACATTCTGCTTCACTGTGTAGATATTAGCAGTCTACAGCCAGGTAACCCAGGCTAGCTAGCGTACTAATTCAGTCAAAAATAGACTATATTATATTCCGGTCACATAACTCTGTAGCTAGTTGCTGAATAAATTGTAGTTGTTTATCATCACACTTTTCTAATGTCGCTTATCATAACCTTCTAACATAAAAAAATGGCTGCTCCATCCGTGACAGCAATCTGTTTGTCATTAACATTTTGTAATGCGTGTCATGCCAATTAATTAACAACCCAGTTAGCTAGCATCCACGTTAGCCTGCTAACGTTAATTAACACAGCTCACTTACCTGTCCTCATTCAGCCCCGGTAAAAGTTTGCTTTGCGTAACTCAAATGTCGACTTTCAAATATATTGGAGATGAAAAACAAGGCATGTTGCTGTCTCGTTCCTTACCTGTGGAGTTAATTCAGTCTGACAGCAGCACGAGCTCGTATCTGTGTTCTCAGCCCGACTGAAACCGATCAGCTGCTTTCTGTCCCAACACCAGCCCTCGGGGGAAACGCTTTTCCATAACAACCGCGGCGCTGTCATCGAAATGTGCCCACTAGAGGGAAACATTGCTCAGAGCAAACTCTAGAAATGTAAATGCTGTAAGCCTAGTGCAACGTTTACTATGGGACATAACTGTAATGTATAATGACTCTTACCAAACTATTTGACAACAAAATCCTACATAAACTTAGCCTCACATTTTCTGACATAGAATGTACATCTAAATGTCTGTCTGTGCTTACAAAACAAATATGGACTCGTAATCAAGAACAGAAAATGTCCCCCATGGCATACACTGCTAAAATATAGCCTACCAAACTAATAAATCATTGACGGGTCGTATGAATTCAATCACTTTCTGACTGCACCCCGTTAGATTTGAACCTTCCAAACATGTTTACTCATGGTAGCGGTCAGAAAGTTACTTTTTGGACCACAATGCCAAAACATTCAGGGGAAAAAGGTGCTCAAAATAGACCCGTTTTGCATACCCAACCCTACCACGAGACTTCCCTGGCTACTCAAAAAATAAAAATAAACGTTTATCTTTTTAAGTGATGAAGACATGGATGTCTCATGGTAGGGTGAGGTATTGAAAATGGGTCCATTTTGAGCTCCTCTATCACCTGACAGTGATTGAAATCAAATGGAACGAACCTGAAACATACCATACAGTGATATAAAGAGTCTCCTACCCTATCACAGAGATAAGATATGTTCTTGACATAAGACAGAGCCTGTGAGCAGGTAATGTGGGGGTAGGTACAGTATGTTATCTTTTACAGTTGTAAAAGGGGAGGGTATTGTATCTATCAGAGAATTAACATAGCAAGGGCATGATAATAAAACTGAGAAGGGAGTGATTTGGTGGTCGCTGGTCAGATAGTTGCATAAGAATCAAAACGTTGTCTGATGTTCGTCTGATGAGATTTAGCTAACATGGTCTAGAACATTTGACCTGAATCAAAACTTATTTCAAATGTAGTAGGCCCTGAATCAAAACGTATTTAAAATATAGTAGGCCCTGAGTGAAAACGTATTTAAAATATAGTAGGCCCTGAATCAAAATGTGCTAAGCCCTTAATCAAAATGTAGTCAGCCTATTCTTCTTATGTGACGGGTCCACTGACTGCTCGAGGTTGGTTGGACTGATAGAGAATCCTGGGAAAACTCCCAGGCGAGTACAATCTGCTGAACTACTGACCTCCCCGGTCAACATTGGAGTAACATTCTGCAGAGGACTGGACAAAGGAAATGGAAAGCTTCTCTTTTAGTTTTTCACTCTATGAATGAGGCGTTGGGAATTATGTAATCCCTGTGTTTTCTAAATTGTTCTGTGATCGGTGGGGAAATTATATTTTATTGTGATTGTTGAGGCACCATTGTTTAGATATGGTTAGTAATAAGAAGCTCGGGAAAAGAAAGATGACAATTATTTCATGACGTGTACCGATTCAAGATAACATAAATAGGATATTAGGATTGCATGGTTTTTGTTCATGTGGATCATCCATGCTGTGCAATGCCCTCAATTTATGTTCCTTACACCAAAAGCTTTGTCTTTGTCTTATCCAAACCAGAGGATTGTGCATCCTGACTGAGAATGTCTTTAAAATGTCTGCAGGTGATTCAGACATGGAATTTGTCCCTTATTTGAAAGCTTCAGGGGGACAAAAGACAGCGACTCCTCTCTGCCAGCAAGACTAAACCTACTCTCTTTAGTCCATCTCAGAATCCGGGAGTATGACAGGGAAGCTTAGATGGATTACACCACCAGACACATTCTATCTGTACACCCCAATCCAATCCTGTAGGCTAGTCTATTCATTGGCACCCCGTTTTCATTATCAAACCAATACCAATATCATACTTGCCATTGCACAGCAGTGTAACTGAAAAAACACTGCAGGTTTATTGCCTTTTAGGCCTACTGCAGAGAGCAGTAATATTTTAGACATCTATTATCCTTCATTTTCTCATTTTAACAGTCATCAGGGCACAATACCAAAGTAGCTATTTTGGCCTGAACATTGTCTCTACTCAAATGTCCTAACGAGTTTCTGAACAGCAGAGAATAAAATGTTTGTTCTTCTTTATTAACTATATCACATTGTTCTTCTATAAATATCAAATGAACCAAGGACTTTTTAGTTTCATAATACTTTCAAATTCTGTTTGGCATGGAAAGCATGACAACAACATAATTCATAATAGGAAGCAGGAAGCATTGGTTGATTACAACCAGTTGGAAACGAGAGGTCACATTGTAGCAATTAGAACGTGTGCCAGGCAGGTGAGGACAGCATGAATGCGCCACGGTCTCCTACACCTTTCCATATCATCTTCACTCTGATTTGAAACATTTGACTGACGATTTCTACACGGTAAGATCGAAGACATGATGGTTGACATTTTTTAAAAACACTTCAGGCCTAGGCGTCATAAGACACACAATAGGCTAAAACGCCTTTCACGTTGTCATATATTATACATGTATTTATTAGAAAGTGCAATTTTCTCCCCATATTGGTCTGCTTAATTGTCTCAATGGGCCGAGTTAATTAATTGAAACTTTCACTTGGTTAGATAGCCTTCATCATAATGTGGCCTTTAACAGCTTCTGCATTACCTATATTTAAATTAAACCTGTGCATAAATCGGAACGAGATGATAGCTCGTGTTTACAAGGTGCGAATGTCCCCACCACTTGGCGACCATGGATGGCGTTGAATCGTCCATTGTGTGTCCTCGCACGCTAAATAGTAGGCCATCCCTGAAACGAGACGGGGTCAGTCTGTCTGTCAATTAAAATCTGGCTATTCCAACTTGTTTTCACGGTCTTGCTGAGAAGTAAGGGTTTGGGCATTAGCACTACATTAACTTTCACCAAAGAGACACGCAATCCCGAAACCATTCTTTCACGTTGGACTCTCACTGAATATTCTCAAGGGACTTGCGCAAATAGCCTACACCCCAACTGGTGCTCTCCTGCACAGTCCCTGAGTTTTTGAGTACTCTCAAACGTTTTTATTTGCTTTTGAATAAGAACATCTATCCTAATTATGCTGACACATGCAGACTACTGTCAGTGCCTATTAGGCTAGTCTGCCTACTGTTTTATATATTTTCAGACTAGGCAATCGGCCATATTTTAATAATTACATGCAGAGCCATATATTTAGATAATACATATATAATTTATAATAGGCTACAATAACATATTGTTTTGTAATAAATATGGTCTACAGGACTGCCTATTTTTTTCCCATACAGTTACTATAGCCTAATGTGATCTTTTACTTTTTGGGCGACTAGATGACAATTTGTCACAATGGCACAACAAATCAGCAACACAATTAATGAGAAGTACGCCTAATATTTTGTATTTACATTATCTCTGTCTTCGTTCAGTGTACCTGTTTAGTGAGCCGAGGGTGTTACTACCTCAATGTTTGTATATTAGCTCTCCTATGTATATTGCTTGCCATAAATTGTTGATTGAAAAGGTACATTCAAGTGGACTGATATAAAACAACACAATTTGGATACTCTGTGGGCATATAAGAAGCTCACTCCCGTGCGCACCTGATGCGTAGAAGTTTTGGAGCACCATTGTCGAAAGGAACGCTGTATGGTAAGTGCCCTGTTGATATTTGTCCGAGGGGTTATTTATAGATTGACTGTCTTTCTCTCTCGCACACACAGAGCCCCCCTCCCCTCCCCTCCCCTCCCCTCCCCTCCCCTCCCCTCCCCTCTCCTCTCCTCTCCTCTCATTCTGCCCGCAGATAGCGCTCAATTCTCTCCTCGATTACGCAGCGGGATTTACATGAAACTGTTAATTGTTTGCTCTTCAAATAGAGGTGGCCTGGAGCCAACAGTCTGCCAGAGGTTAAGAACCGACTCCCTCCCTCCCCCTCCTGTCCGACAGTGCAGCCCCCTGGATGATCAGCATGACAAAGCACTGGGGGGGTCAGAGCCTGCTGGCACCACTCGCTCTCTCCTACCTGCGCTCTCCTAGCCTAGGAGGCCACCACGACCATCAACTTGACTTCCAGATCCATCCTCTGATTAACACAGCGCGGAGCTCTCCAGCCCAACACGGGCCTTACTACTCGACCCAGGTGCCAGTCCAACAGCCTCCACGGCTGGAAAAGCCTGTCCCTGCCCAGTTCAGCTGGGCCACAGCGCCCATGGATAAAGCGATGCTGCCAAACCACCACGGACCGCCCGGATCATCCTACCAGCCGTCGCCCAAGCTCAACAAAGATGGGCCGATCAAGGAGGAATCTTGGGACCAGAAGAAAAATGCCAACAGTGTAAAGAAAAAAAACTATCAACGCTACCCCAAACCACCCTACTCGTACCTCGCAATGATTGCCATGGTCATCCAAAACTCTCCAGAGAAGAAGCTTACGTTGTCTGAGGTAAAGTGAGTTTGTGTGTGGACATGCGAGTTTAGAATAAATTGTACATTTTGGCCAAATTACGCACGGTTATTTGTGTCAATTTAGGCCAAATCACGCATGGTTATTTGTGTACATTTTGCTGTTTAATAATTTTTATTTTCATGTATTATTTAAGTTTCAGCAAATAAAGTTGATATACTTTATTCTTTAAAAAGTTATAATCGGGGATGCTGTCTTATCGTTCGATTGCATTAAACAGACAGAACTGTACAATCATTTGACTCTAAACAGAGTAAGCTAGTAACCTCTTGGCACACTTCAGTGACTGCCATGCTTTTCTTGTTTTGTTTTGTTAAGGATAGCAGCATACAGTGAAACCAGACACTGTGATGTATCAGCTGGAGTTGGTTGAGTTGATAAGAAATATAGTCAAGGATAGCTCTCTGTGTAGGCTATCCGTCCTACAGTTCATCTTACGTTTTGCATTATAGGCCTATGAAAAGGCTGCAATCATGTTTTCAATCATATACAGTATCTCTTTAATATAGTCTGTTAATTTGTCTGTTTAATGCAGACACCCATTGATGCAAGTTGACTCCTTTCTTATTGTCTTTCCCCAGATTCTAAAGGAGATCAGTACACTTTTCCCTTTTTTCAAAGGGAACTACAAGGGCTGGCGGGACTCGGTACGACACAACCTCTCTTCCTATGACTGCTTTGTTAAGGTGTGTCTTCTTTGTTATGTCAATCAGTGGGCTCAAAAAGGCACTCTTATCCAGAGCGACTTACAGGAGCAATTAGGGTTAAGTGCCTTGCTCAAGGGCACATATGCAGATTTTTCATCTAGTTGGCTCGGGGGTTTGAACTAGCGTCATTTCAGTTACTGGCCCAATGCGCTTAACCACTAGACTACCTGTGTAGCCTACCAAAAGCCACTGCAGTGCTTTATGAAACATTAGGTGGAGCAAATCATTCTAGCTAATTCTGAGTTGTGTGAAACTGGGGAGATCCTGTCTGACTGGTTTTCAGGTTGTACTATACTCTTGATCTCACCGCTGTCTGTCACTCCCGGTCCCTGTAGGTACTGAAGGATCCTGGGAAGCCCCAAGGGAAGGGGAACTTCTGGGCCGTGGAGGTGAGCCGGGTGCCCGTTGAGCTCCTCAAGAGGCAGAACACTGCTGTGTCACGCCAAGATGAGACCATCTTCGCCCAGGACCTCGCCCCTTACATCCTGCATGGGCACCAACATAAGCCAAATGCGCAGCCCCCGGCCCCCCCACCACCAATCATTGTTCTACCCCGAGGACCCATCACAACTCCCCCCCCCGGCCCTCCTTTCACCGCTCTACCCCCCATGCCCACCAGACAACTCTCCCCCTCTCAGGAGGACCTGTACCGGCCCAAGCTGGACTCATCCTTTGCCATCGACTCCCTTCTCCACAGCCTGAGGCCGGCCAGCGACGCAGGAGAACCCGACAGGGACAGGAACTGCTGGGGGGTGGAGCCCCACACTCGCCCCTCCCCTCCTCCATGCTCTCGCTACTCCTCCTCCGCCCGCAGCGCCTCAGCGAGCTCCGTCAGCCCCGCCTCCTCATCCGATGAGGACTGGAGGGGCGTGTCGCAGGGCGGGAAGAGGGTGCCCGAGGGCGAGGCGGGATCAGACGGGTACGAGGACTGCAGGCCCCCTCCACACAAGGCTGCCCGCCGAGGCTGCACCCCTCCCTGGGAACTTCCCACTTCATATGCCAAGTACACACCGCCCAATGCTGTGGCCCCGCCCAGCATGCGTTTTAACGGGGGCCCACTGATGCCACTGGGGATGCCTCTGTATGGTTACGGAGGGTCTCCTGTCACATCCAGCCATTTTGTAGGTCATGCCTACTGGCCCCTCTTACCCAGCGGGCACCCTCCCCTCATTATGGACCTGGACACTATGCTCCAGTCAGTACCGCCCAATAAGAGTGTGTTTGATGTGCTGGGTCCGGCCAATCAGTCATCGCACCAGTCTGCTGGTCAGTATACCCTGCAGAGCGGACCCCCTCTCAGACGGTATCCCCATTATTGACTATGACTCAAATCAAACCAGCACCAAATATATTGTAAGTGCAATGCAGGGATATGAATGACCTATTCGTACAAACTTCACTCATGGAAACAAATGTGTCCACCCTATACATTTGTAATTTCTGATTGACCGGTCATATTATTAAATGTTTACAGAAGACCAAATTGTAAATTCAAATGTTCAACCACTAACATCTACTTCAAATATACAACCACTAACATCTACTTCAAATATACAACCACTAATATCTACTTCAAATATACAACCACTAATATCTACCTCAAATATACAACCACTAACATCTACCTCAAATATACAACCACTAATATCTACCTCAAATATACAACTAATATCTACCTCATTCTTATGAAATCAGTTAATACAGGGATGTTGCACTGCCCGCGTTTGCACTATTGTATTGTCAATATGATAAAGTTTTTCTTTTAAGAAATCTCTTTTAAATGTTGCCTACCTCGGCTATTGAATGTGTTTTTTTTAGTGGATTTTTTTCCAGAGGAAAAGTATTTTCTTCCCTCTTGTTTTTATGGTTGTCTTTTGAAAAGCTTGTACAGTATTTTTAAAATGTTGTAAAACTGCACATGATGCCAGTACATTTCTTCATAGGATATGAAATAAAATGTTTTCTTTCACTCAACTGTTGGCTTTGATAGTATTCATGTAGGAAAAGCTTTTCAATATTACACGTGCTAGTTCAGTGCCGAGAGCCTTAGGAGAACAGAGAAGTTAGGTTTTCTGAGCCTCACTTAAGTGAAGAGAGAGCTCTTTTGTCTATGTGTGTGTGCTGTATTGGTCATCTTGTCTCATTGGAGCCCAGTGGATCACTGCCTCATACTCCAGGGAGGTTAAGTGTGTTTGTCCTGGTTCGAATCCAGGCTCTGTCGTAGCCGGCCGCGACCGGGAGACCCATGGGGTGGCGCACAATTGGCCCAGCGTCGTCCAGGGCAGGGGAGGGAATGGCCGGCAGGGGATGTAGCTCAGTTGGTAGAGCATGGCGTTTGCAACGCCAGGGTTGTGGGTTCGATAAAATAATGTATGTGATAACTGTAAGTCACTCTGGATAAGAGCGTCTGCTAAATGACTAAAATGTAAATGTAAATGTAGATGGTTGAACCAAAATTAAGTGTTTGTCCCAGACTTGAGATAAGCTGTCCGTAATTGGTTCAGAGTTAAAGTTCAGTGTTGAATACCTTGTATTCTTTGTCCAATAGACATGTCCCAGTGTTACAACACAAGACATTGTGATCTTAGTCTGCCTACCTGACAAAAAGCTTGAACCCCCCCCCCAGCCAGCTCTAAAGGGCTTATTTGCATAGGGCTTACTGTGAATGGTAGCTGTTATTCTAGTCTAAAGATTGGTGTCATTTGGTTTCACTCCTAAATGTTTATCGATGTTATCGCTGTATTAGTGTACAATACTGGCTATTACTGAAGAAATACTTGTAGAGAGTCTCCAAGTCGCCTTTCCTGATGCGTAGGCAGATATCTTTACCATGTCAGTCAGGGCTGTAGCTACCACCCCGTCTCACAACCCAAGCCCACTATCAGTCAATACAGGGTGGGTGAGCGCTCAGTGGTGACTAGGGGAGGGGCTGAGTTTTAGAATTTCTCTTTGGGTGTGACTAACATTTTTACCACAGGAATTGTGATCCATAAACTTAAATTTTCTTGTCTTTGATCCGTGGTCCACAGCACCAGCTGTAAGGTCCCACGCGACTCGTTAACATCTGATTTACATCACTCTACCAACGTCCTGCTGCTGGAACATCAATGCTCACTATCTTTCAATCTACTCTCCATGCATGCCTGCCCTGGGCCTGCACCCCCTCCTCTCCTCTGCTAGTCCTCCTTCCCCGATCATCCTAGTCACTGAAAACTCTCCTCCCCCCTGTGGGGACCAGGACCTCTCAGCCCCACACCTCAACCCTCCTGCCTCTCAACCCCACCCCCCCAACCCTCCTGCCTCTCAACCCCACCCCCCCCAACCCTCCTGCCTCTCAACCCCACCCCCCCCATCCCTCCTGCCTCTCAACCCCACCCCCCCAACCCTCCTGCCTCTCAGCCCCCCCCCCCCCAACCCTCCTTCCTATCAGCCCCACACCCCCAACCCTCCTGCCTCTCAACCCCACCCCTCCTGCCTCTCAAACCCCCCCCCAACCCCCACTCCCCAACCCTCCTTCCTATCAGCCCCACTCCCCAACCCTCCTGTCTCTCAACCCCACTCCCCAACCTTCCTGCCTCTCAGCCCCACACGGCAACCCTCTTGCTGGGTCTCCTTATCTCTCCCAGAACACCCTGCGACTCCCTGGAATTCATATTGGAGGCTGGTTTGGGCTTTATTATTTTATAAGTTTGAGTTGAGTTAGAATGACAGATACTGTAAACCTTGACATCATGCAGGGGTTGGTGTTGTAACTGAGGCCTGTGAGGATAATCATTGTACTCATTCCCATATGGACCCCTCATGACTCTGGTTATGTTGTGTAACATTTGGGTGTCATGGTGCAGGGTTCTCCCCCCCAGACATTTCACATTTTTGTTTTAACCCTAAACTGGCACACCTGATTCAATTAGTCAACTAATCATCAAGCCTTTGACTAATTCAATCGGATGTGCCAGTTTAGGGTTAAAACTAAAATGTTAAACGTCTGGGGGAAAGGGGCAGAGGGTTGAGAAACCCCCATGTAGTGCTCTGAACACAGGGTGGCAGTGCAATAACAGGAAACATAGATGGGTCAGTCATTTTGGCTTGAAGTGTATGTGTGTGTTTGGATGAGGAGAACTACTTTCCTTGAGTCTGTGTGGTCAGGGCTGAGCTCTCACAGCAAAACAGGGTTTCCCAAACTCGGTCCTGGGGCTCTCCCCTGGGTGCACGTTTTGGTTTTTGCCCTCGCACTACACAGCTGATTCAAATAACCAACTCATAATCAAACTTTTATGATTTGAATCAGCTGTGTAGTGCTAGGACAACAACCAAAATGTGCACACAGGGGGGGGGCCCAAGACGAGGTGGGGAAACCCTGGAATAAATGACTATTTTAAATAGCATTTTATTTATTTATATATAAATAAACAAAACGGCAAGCTTTCACTGGAAGTTTTTATAAATGTATTCGCCAAACTACAGTTGTATAATAATGCAGCGATTTGTCTAAAGCAGGGGTATTCAACTCTTACCCTACGAGGTCCGGAGCCTGCTGGTTTTCTGTTCTACCTGATAATTAATTGCACACACCTGGTGTCCCAGCTCTAAATCAGTCTCTGATTAGAGGGGAACAATGAAAAAACGCAGTGGAACTGGCTTGGAGGTCCATAGTTGAGTTTGAGGGCTCTAAACACACACAAAGAACAAACCCAGGTCAGTTATTGACTGTATAGATCTGATCCACAAGTTGGCTAGTCTGTTACACCTCGACTGATTTGAAAAAGGTACAACTGAAGTGAGAGTTAAGTTTCATGTATTGTTGCTTTTACATCATGGTTAAAATCAGTTGTGATGAGAGGCAGCAGACTAGTCTAGAAGAGAGTAGACTAGATTAATAGAGATGGGCAACACAGAGTGTGTTAAACACTAAGCTTAAAGGTCTGCTCAGAGAGCGATATGTAACCTAACTTGTTCTCTAATAAATCCGCTACAGGTGACAGGATTTCCATGTATGTCTGCTCTCTGCGCAAACTCATACGGTACTGTAAGGAGCTTGCAAAGCTAGCATCCTTTTAAAAACACGACTAGTGGTTTATGACTAGTGGTATTGGATTGTTGACTACAGACTGCTGAAATAAAGGCATTGTTCATGTAATTCGATTTGAACCAAGGTCTAGAAAAAAAACAGTACAGTACTGACATGATTACATTGGAGTTTGAAATGCTCTCTCCAGCCTTCGTCGTATCCATCTTTGGCAGTGTCTCAACACACCTCTCACTCATCGTATTCATACTCGCTGTACTGGAGTTAAATGAAAAATGTAATGTTTTTTTGTATTTTTTTTGTATTCTTATAATTGCATTGTTGGTTAAGGGCTTGTAAGTAAGCATTTCACTGTAAGGTCTACACCGGTTGTATTCGGCGCATGTGACAAATACAATTTGATTTGATTGGAGATCCCTGTGGAACTATTTTTCCAGGTCTTTTCCCTCTACACCCCTGTGCCATACGGTACTCAAACACACTGCCCCTCTCTGAGAAGTTCTCATTTTTAAGAGGTCTTCCATACCCAGCTGCCTGCTTGTCCTCCCTCACCATATCCACTTCCACCAGGGGTATACAGGCAAAACATATCCTGTCAACAAAAGACACACAGATGGTCAGTTGGGTAATCAACACACACCCAGAACAAAAAATGCCAAGCCTAAACAGTACAATGCAAGAACATCCACAGGCCCATACTGTACAGTACACCACACCAACAGGCCCATATTGTACAGTACACCACACCAACAGGCCCATATTGTACAGTACACCACACCAACAGGCCCATATTGTACAGTACACCACACCAACAGGCCCATATTGTACAGTACACCACACCAACAGGCCCATATTGTACAGTACACCACACCAACAGGCCCATATTGTACAGTACACCACACCAACAGGCCCATATTGTACAGTCGTGGTCAAAAGTTTAGAGAATGACACAAATACTAATTTTCACAAAGTCTGCTGCCTCAGTTATGATGATGGCAATTTGCATATACTCCAGAATGTCATGAAGAGTGATCAGATGAATTGCAATTAATTGCCATGAAAATGAACTTAATCCCAAAAAAAACGTTTCCACTGCATTACCATGGAGACCATAGGGTCAGCTGGAGCGCCTCTGTTAGCACTGACAGGACCCCCTTGTTCCTGAATAGAAGTTTCCGGATGACCATATCGCCCCCACGGTACTCCCCTGCAGCCCCCGAGCCGGGCTGCAGGGAGAAGTGCTCCAGAACCATAGGGTACCTGAGACAGAGGAAGAGGAGGAGAAGGCATTAGGAGAGGGAGGAAGAGGAGGGAGGAGGAGATGGAGGAGGAGAAGGCATGAGGAGAGGGAGGAAGAGGAGGAGAGGGAGGAGGAGGAGGAGGAGGAGGAGAGAGAGGAAGATGAGGAGAAGGCATGAGGAGAGGGAGGAAGAGGAGGAGAGGGCATGAGGAGAGGGAGGAAGAGGAGGAGAGGGCATGAGGAGTCAGATCAACAGGACACAAGAAGAGGTGATCGCTAGCTAACTAAGTTAAGGACAAGCACTATGGAACTGAATGTAGAAATGTGAGGGGTTGAAGCCTCTCCTATAATTCCTCCCCCCCACCTCTTCTCCAGAATCTCTGGGTCGGTGATGAGTGTGTTAGTCATGTGACTGTCCAGCCTGGCCCCGCCCCTGCTCTCTCTTCCTCCCATGTCGTAGTAAGCGCTCCCCTCACTGCCAAAAGTCACATTGTTCATGCAGCCCTGACAGAGAGAAAGAGAGTGAGAAAGAGAGAGAGGGAGAGTGAGGAGGAGAGAAAAAGGAGAGTGAGGGCTGCTAACACTCATAAACATCAAGACAATTGTTATGTAACTGTGGCAGGACTGTTCAGTAACAGCTCCCTCTCCTACCTGTGAGGCGGCGCAGACCTTGTAGGCGCGGAAGATGACATCGACCACCCTCTGTGACGTCAGCACATTCCCCCCCACCACAGCGGCATTCTGGGAAGGCTAGAAGATGGAGCCGCTGGGAATGATGACTTTGACTGGAGTGAGACAGCCCTGAGACGAAGAGTGGTTTTAATGCTTTCTCAGTGTTTATCACATCATATCCTTGCATCCAAACTTCAACATTGCAGTACCAATGTCTACCACCAGAGGTCCTAGCATTTGTTTCCTATTCTAGACTTTTTTTCTGAATTGAGAATTTGTGAATTGAGAACATTGAGCCCCTACTGACCTGGTTGAGGGGGATGTCCTGGCCTACCATGCAGGCAGGCAGTAGATGCGGGCAGAGAAGTTGATGGCATGAGGGGCGTTACAGTTCCCCCACTGTGAAGTGAAACACTGCACTGCCCTGGGAGGGAGAGATGGAAGAGAGATGGTGAGGTAGAGGGAATAAAAGAAAGGAGGAATAACCAATAGAATCATATAAACAGTTCCAATCTCTCATAGACAGATCTACATAAACATAACTGGTACCGAAGAATCTGTCGGTGTAACAGTGTTGCTTCCGTCCCTCTCCTTGCCCCAACCTGGGCTCTAACCAGGGATCCTCTGAACATATCGACAACAGTCACCCACAAAAGATTGTTACCTATCACGCCACAAAAGCCATGACCCCCGCAGAGCAAGGGAAACAACTATTTCAAGGTCTCAGTGCGAGTGACGTCATCAATTAAAACTAACTAACCAGCTAGCCATTTCACACCGGTTACATTGGGGAGGAATGGCATGCGTGGGAAAACGAGCAGCAGTAGCTAGTTCGATTACGATTTCGCAGGTGTTATCATCTTTCAAATTTCGGAAGGGGAGGGGTCATTAGGCCCCTAACTTGAAAAGAGAGAGGGTGGAGCACCTTGTTCCTGTTCCGCTCATCATTCTAGCGTCTCTTCATCCCTTCTCTCAACACGTATAGACCCAGAATTTAATCAAACATCTGACCAATTACACAAGACTTTAGTTCTGGGTTAACTGAGATTAGCAATTCCTTTACAGTCCTGATGGATGGGTAGTGACCCGGTTGCCAGGTCTGTCTGTGTTTTAACCAACACTTATCTTGTGTTCGTAGGCACGCCAAACACGAAAAAGGAGTTGGCTCCAGTGTAAACAGATCTGGCGGATATATTATTACATGGATAGCATTGTATCTCCACATACATGTACCTCATTCTCGTTCATCTGGACCTGCAGTCTGATTGGTGTTCCATCGTCCATGAAGTCCTCTGCCTCCACCTTCAGGGAACCTGTCTTTAAGCATGTCTCTCACCGCCAGCTCTGTATTACTCTGGAATCACGCACATGCACGCAGAAACAGGCGCTCGCACACACACAGGTCAGATTACATAAAGACAAACACATTAGTACCTATCAACACGAATGCTGACCACTCCATTTGTAATGTGATATGAGCTAATACAGCCCAACTGAATCAAGCATCTCACAGTGATGTCCTCCTAACCTGGATGTATCCCATGTAGACCTGCACCACAGCCAGCCCATAGCCGTCAATCAACTCCCCCACTAGTGTGCTCTCTCGCTGATTGGCTGCCACTTGAGCTCACAGGTCTGACAGATTGTCATGGAGATTGCAAGTCTCAGAGCAGTCTTGGTATTGAGCTGGAGCCATGAGTGCTTCGGTTACAGCTGATAAAGAACGAGAGAGAGAGAGAGACAGATAATGAGAAAGATCAGTACAATGCCAGCCATGGAAACGTTTTTACAAACAGATTCCTGGAGTGCTCTGAATTCCTGTTGTGATGTTGTGATAATTGCTCTATAACCTGTTAGTTCATATGCCTTGCGACCGTGATAGATAGGCCTAAAGCCGACACAGTGACAGAATAAATTCAACCACACCTTTGTTTCATCACAAAACTGGAGAGCAATCTCTGTCTGGTGAAGTCCACAAAGCATATTGAATGTAACAAACAGTTACATGACCTACAGCATGGTAAAGCAAGTTAATGTTCCCAACATTTTCGGACTACTAAACAACTATTGATTTAGAACCACGGAGAGTTAATGCAAGTCGCAAAGAAAACAGGAGCTGCCTCCACTATTCCAGCACCATTTCAACTACAACATTTCAACATCATCAAATCACCTATGCTTAGTCTAATACAGTGACAACTAAAAGATCCCAAAAACAATTTAGTCCAATCAACGCACGCTAAATATGTGGCTGTCCATGGTTCTGATTTGTGTGTGTGTTCCTGCAAGTAGAAAAAACATGTTGACTCACCCAACTTGTAGAGAAACATCAATGCCGTCCTCCTCTCTTTCATGATGACGAAACAGTCTATGACTCTGTCATACAGTATAGGCTTTTATTTTTTGTTGTCCTAGGCTACCTGGCCAAAATGCTTGCTCACTAGCCTAACTTCCTTTCATGGGCAATGTTAGCTAGTTAACATTAGCCTTCTACATCTTGCTACATATTGAACTTCCATCCTCTCAGTCCAGGGGCACAATGTATTTTATGATTGAATCACAATCTCCGTTATAATCATTGGCCAGTACAGAGAATTAAGTACAGAGAATTAAATAAGTCCAAATCCCTATCTCCATCCATGGCTAATTTAGGAAAGGGGCAATTTTGGCTAGCTAGCTAGCCACCGGAGGACAACAACACAACGGGATGCAACAATTCAAGTTGTTTCTGTCGATGACGTATTTCTCTGTGATAGGAGTGAAGCCAAATCCAAACTGGCTTCCCTGACACTTTTTTTGGTGCTCCAGAACCATTCACAGTTGAGCTCACTCATTTTAGCTCAACGCTGATTGGATATTATTTTATACTTTTTTTTATCAGTGAGGCCAAATGTTCGCTGGCTTCCCTTGCATCCTCTTTATGACCAGACAGCATCAGATAGATTGCCTACACATAGAGAGACAGAGGGGCGCTGTTTCACTTGCTCCGGTGAGATACAGTACATTCAGCCTCTTGCGAACTGAAGAAACATGATAAAACACAGAGAGACAAAATATACATTGTTTTAATGTTTTTTTCTTTTTTTCTTGGTACATTTTTGGGGGAAGCCTGGCTTCCCTTGGCATCCATGAATACACGCCACTGATTATGAGTGAAACTCACCGGAGTGATGACTGAGGTCAGGGAGGTGACTGCCTCCTGCACGTGGATGGTTACGCAGAATCACATGACACTTTCCTTATGGATTTGATCTGTAGAACACAGAAAGGACAGAGAGAGATATGAGATAGAATATACTGTACTTTGGTTCCTTGCTGTCTCAACTTCCCCAAATACTTGCTTATTATGTTTAACAGACTTTGAATACATTTTGTAAAGCAGTGCATTTTCATGTTTGCAGTGATTATCCAGACCTGGTACTGGACGGTTTCCTGCATGGCTCCCAGGTGAACAGGGATGTGAGGTGCGTTGGACACCAGGCCTCCGTCAGGGCCAAACATGGAGATGGAGGTTCTATGGAGCACCCAGGCCATCCCTGGTTACTAACTGACCTGCGATGCTCATGAAGCGATGGGAGAAGATGGAGAGCTGTACGGTGTTGAGTTCAGTTCCCAGGAGGCAGTGGGTGTCAGTGCCCACGGCGATGCACACATCAACCCCTTCTGTCAGATGGGCCACACAGCTGCGCTCCACCAGGATGGTGCTGGGAGGAAACAATCAAATGACACCGTCTAAAACAGTACTTACAGAGGAAATTACTTTTTGGTCTATAGAATGCCAGCTTCATCTAAACCAACAGATGTAATTCAGTGGCTATTTAAGGCTTAAAAACTAATCTGAATTTAGATCTGCAGTGTCATAATTTTGTTAAACATTTTTAGGAGGTAGATCAGCTTTAATATTGCAGATAGAGTGTAACTTCCATCAATGTAATTGTCTGCATCACTTCCAATCCCCCATATGTTTTTGTTTTGTTTTTTCTCTCGCATATATACATATATACAGTGGGGGAAAAAAGTATTTAGTCAGCCACCAATTGTGCAAGTTCTCCCACTTAAAAAGATGAGAGAGGCCTGTAATTTTCATCATAGGTAGATGTCAACTATGACAGACAAAATGAGGAAAAAAAATCCAGAAAATCACATTGTAGGATTTTTTATGAATTTATTTGCAAATTATGGTGGAAAATAAGTATTTGGTCAATAACAAAAGTTTCTCAATACTTTGTTATATACCCTTTGTTGGCAATGACACAGGTCAAACGTTTTCTGTAAGTCTTCACAAGGTTTTCACACACTGTTGCTGGTATTTTGGCCCATTCCTCCATGCAGATCTCCTCTAGAGCAGTGATGTTTTGGGGCTGTCGCTGGGCAACACGGACTTTCAACTCCCTCCAAAGATTTTCTATGGGGTTGAGATCTGGAGACTGGCTAGGCCACTCCAGGACCTTGAAATGCTTCTTACGAAGCCACTCCTTCGTTGCCCGGGCGGTGTGTTTGGGATCATTGTCATGCTGACAGACCCAGCCACGTTTCATCTTCAATGCCCTTGCTGATGAAAGGAGGTTTTCACTCAAAATCTCACAATACATGGCCCCATTCATTCTTTCCTTTACACGGATCAGTCGTCCTGGTCCCTTTGCAGAAAAACAGCCCCAAAGCATGATGTTTCCACCCCCATGCTTCACAGTAGGTATGGTGTTCTTTGGATGCAACTCAGCATTCTTTGTCCTCCAAACACGACGAGTTGAGTTTTTACCAAAAAGTTATATTTTGGTTTCATCTGACCATATGATATTCTCCCAATCCTCTTCTGGATCATCCAAATGCACTCTAGCAAACTTCAGACGGGCCTGGACATGTACTGGTTTAAGCAGGGGGACACGTCTGGCACTGCAGGATTTGAGTCCCTGGCGGCGTAGTGTGTTACTGATGGTAGGCTTTGTTACTTTGGTCCCAGCTCTCTGCAGGTCATTCACTAGGTCCCCCCGTGTGGTTCTGGGATTTTTGCTCACCGTTCTTGTGATCATTTTGACCCCACGGGGTGAGATCTTGCGTGGAGCCCCAGATCGAGGGAGATTATCAGTGGTCTTGTATGTCTTCCATTTCCTAATAATTGCTCCCACAGTTGATTTCTTCAAACCAAGCTGCTTACCTATTGCATATTCAGTCTTCCCAGCCTGGTGCAGGTCTACAATTTTGTTTCTGGTGTCTTTTGACAGCTCTTTGGTCTTGACCATAGTAGAGTTTGGAGTGTGACTGTTTGAGGTTGTGGACAGGCGTCTTTTATACTAATAACAAGTTCAAACAGGTGCCATTAATACAGGTAACGAGTGGAGGACAGAGGAGCCTCTTAAAGAAGAAGTTACAGGTCTGTGAGAGCCAGAAATCTTGCTTGTTTTTAGGTGACCAAATACTTATTTTCCACCATAATTTGCAAATAAATTCATTAAAAATCCTACAATGTGATTTTCCTGATTTTTTTTCTTCTCAATTTGTCTGTCATAGTTGACGTGTACCTATGATGAAAATTACAGGCCTCTCTCATCTTTTTAAGTGGGAGAACTTGCACAATTGGTGGCTGACTAAATACTTTTCCCCCCCACTGTATATACACATACATACATTTATACATACATACATACATATCCTTTAAAAATATATATATTTCCCTTTGTGAATTGAAAATAAACATCTTTGCTAAAAGTATTATTATATTATTGATCGATTGACTATGACTTTTCAGATCACCCAGTAGTGCTATCTGCAGGGTCAGCTCCATGCAAATATTGCAATCCTTCAGCCATTCCTGGACCTGTCCAGAAACAAGCTACAAATGGACAGTACCAAAACAAATGATCTAATGATTCTGTCTCTTCACAGCCAAATCTGCAGAGCTGGGAAGATTGTATCCCCCATACAAATAACATTCTGTTGGTAGCAAGAATTTGATATAATAATTTAAATGGACAAATTTAATCCGGCGTCGTTTTGAGGATCAGTTCATAAACACTATGCCATGGAATCGGTACGTCAAAAATCTCTTCCCAACTATTTTGCAATCTATATGGGACGGCTGTCAATCTTTTGGTCCTTAAATGAAACTGGTAAACTTTTTTATTTATCACAATTTTCTTTAACCAATTATGTAACTAATGCAAGGCCGACAGACAACTTCCATACTTTTTCCTCCTTCCACTTTCCTCTTCCATTTTTGCGGTAATGCTGCAATTATTTGGTTGTAATTTTGGGTAGAGCAAACATTTCCATGTGTTTTTGTTAGCTGCATGTGCGACATAACTCCACCATTCCTACCGATAATATCATTTAGGAAGATTATACCTTTTTTAAACATTTTCTCAAAAAAGAACGGTTTTCTATCAATTACTATATTAGAGTTTAACCACAATATTTGTTGCAATATTTGTTCTGTCATTTCTGGAGGATTAAATTGAAATTGCAACCAACTTTCTATGGCTTGTTTTAGAAATAGTGATATTTGGGAGATGATTTCCTTTTCAAATACCTGAAAGTGAGGGGTTGTAATCTGAATGAAGGGAAAAAGTCCCTTCTTGAACATTGGGTGAGACAATCTTACTAGTTTGCTAGAGAACCAGTTCGGTTTTAAGTATAATTTTTGTATGACTGAAGCTTTTAGTGATAGGTCTAATGCTTTAATATTTAATAATTTCTGTCCTCCTAATTCATATTCATTATATAAATAGGCCCGTTTAATTTTGTCTGGCTTGCCGTTCCAAATAAAATCGAATAGTTTTTTTCTCATATAATTAAAAAAACTGTTCGCAAGACCATAAGCAAATAGGTAAACAGAGATAAGCTTTAATATTGCAGATTGTAACTTCCATCAATGTAATTGTCTGCATCACTTCCAATCCCCCCATATGTTTCTATCTCTCTCAAATATAAATATATTTATTATTATATATATACACATACATACACACACACATACACATACATACATACATACATATAAATACATTCCCTTTTTTTGAAATTATTTTCCTTTATTACTTTCCAACCCCACCATCCCTCCCCTAATTGGAGTAAACTAGTGAACAACAAAGCTTAGGCCTCTACTTCCAGCTTATACATACTATATACATTTTAATGACACAGTCAATTTGACAATAATTCTATTTTGATGGTTTTTACTCCTGAACTTCCTCTACCCTCAACCTCTCCAGTGTCATTATTTGTAAATACTCCAAGGTAGCCTTGCCCTTAAGTAGCCTTGCACTTATGTCATATGGCATGAGAAACCCACACCTGTTCTTGTCTATGATGATGGCTGGATCGGGGATATTGTGGTCACATGGCAACTCTTCCCACAGGTAAACGTTGGTGTCCAGGTAACCATCCTCAAAGTAACACATGGTTATCTTAGTGATGGAAAACAGAGGATATACAGTAGTTGACTTTGAGTCCATTGTGAGGATCCCAGGATGGAGCCATACATGAAATATACTGTAATACTACCTGTTACTCACATAAAAGACAGACTGTGTGTCGGTTCACAGCCCTGTAAACACAGGCGAAAAAAGTGACATTACTTTGAGATGTACAGTACAGTAAGGAAACAGTGCGTGTGATGATTAATGACACTTTCAAAATCCCTGAGTTCTGAACCGTAGTGGCTTTGGGAAACCCATATCCCATCTTGGTGTTGGTCATAGATTTAAGGCCCGATTTCCCAGAGCCCCTGATTCTGATGTCATCAACTATGATGGGCCGGTCTGGGATGGTGAAGCCAAACTCCTTCAGGTAGCTGGGAGGAGATAGAGGTACAGAGGGAACATGAGGGTGTGAGGGTTGTACCGTTGATTATAGATTTAAGATAATTGGTTCTTATTATGTAGGAACATAATGGAGTGAGGGGAAAGGTTAATGTGCTCACCACTTAATGAAGGCAATACAGAATTCCCCAGACCTACATGACTGGGAGTTGCCAGGGTAACCTGTGGCCATTCCCATGAGCGCTCAGTCTGTTTGGTGGAGGAAAACTTCAGTGGTTATCTGGGCGCTGAAATAGAAAAAAAGATAAGAAATCATTGGTTCATTCTTAATTATAAACTGGGTGGTTCGAGCTCTGAATGCTGATTGGCTGAAAGCCATGGTATACCACGGGTATGACAAAACATTGCTCTTCTAAGTACGTTGGTAACCAGTTTATAATAGCAATAAGGCACCTCTGGGGTTTGTGATTTATGGCCAATATACCACGGCTAAGGGCTGTATCCAGGCACTCCGTGTTGCGTCGTGAATAAGAACAGCCCTTAGCCATGGTATATTGGCCATATACCACACCCCCTTGGAGCTTATTTCTTAATTATATAACAGACAATGGATAAGAGTGTGTTTGTGTGTGTGTGTGTGTGTGTGTGTGAGTGCACAATCATGTGTGTGTGTGTGTGCTCATGTGTATGTGTGCTAATGCATGTGAGTGTGTTGTGTCTGACCTGCTGAAGCCGCGGTCTCTCAGGGCCTCTGTGCAGCGCTGGGTTAGCTGGTCCACCCTGCGGTCCAGCTCAGAAAAGGAGCGAGGGTCGTAGTGCAGAAAGCAGGGCTCCTGGACTTCCTCCACCACATCAGCCAGGGCCAGGTCGTAGGCTGACAACACACCACTGTACCTGGGAGGGATAGGGAGGGACAGGGAGAGAGAGAGGGATAGAGTTCAATTGGGAGAGACAAAAGTGCATTGAAAGAGAAAATATTTGAGAATCTGCAGACAAGCAGAAAGACCATCAAGTTTCTGTTAAAAGTAAAAAAAAGTAATAAAAAGGGAAATTAATTTGAATGTTAACATAATCATACTTGAATACTAGTAAAAATCATACTTGAATACAAGTACAAACTCATACTTGGATACCAGTAAAAATCATACTTGGATACTAGTACAAAATCATACTTGGATACCAGTAAAAACTATACTTGATTACTAGTAAAAATCAGACTTGACTCTATTCCAACCAGGCAACAACAGTAGAGATTTTCACATACACTACCCTTACACACTACATACCGCACCCGGTAACACTTTACTTAACACCCAGCGTCATCACACATTATGACACGGTCATAACCATGTCATAATATGTCATAACAGCTGACATAACTAGTGGAAAGGAAATGGTTGATCTCGCGGGTGAGCTGGTGGAAGTGCTTCATGGTGTCATCGCTGGACAGAGGCTCGTCCTCTCCCGGACCAAAGATCCTGGGGAAGAAGGAGGGGAGCAGGCGGTCCAGAGCCAGGTTGGCATCCGTCACTGTCAGAGGACCACCTATGAAGATCAGACACAGATGTAGGTTACTACTCCACTAGAGCCGTATGTAAAGCAGAGTTACATGATCTCACATTTCGGTTAGAACTTGGAGTTATTCCAACTTTTTTAAACCTTCCCCCTCGGCCATCCCATCAACCTAAAGAGGGGGTAGGGAAAAACGTTGTCCGTATAGATGTTAAATGTCCATACATTTTTATCTGAGTGAGTGGAACGGATTAAAGACAGAAATCTGTATCCGGGAGAAAGGGGTAGATCGAGTCAAAGGGTAAAAGCTGGGGATGATGGGGTGTGTGATAAACGGAAAACAAAACACTGGATTAAGGTGGGAAAGAGTGTGTGAGGAAGAGGGAAGGAGAGCAGCAGAAAGGGATAGGGTTAAGTTATCTAACAGAGTAAAGGAGTGGAAAGAAGGGGAGGATGAGCGATAGAGAGAGAAAGAGAGACAGAGAGAGAGAGAGAGAGAGTGTCACGCCCTGGCTCTGGGGACTCTTAAATGTTGAGCCAGGGTGTGGATTTGCTATGTTTAGTTTTTCTATGTTTTTGTTCTAGATCGTTTGATCTATGTTGGCCAGGGTGGTTCCCAATCAGAGGCAGCTGTAGCTCGTTGTCTCTGATTGGGGACCATACTTAGGCAGCCTGTTTTGCACTAGTCTTTGTGGGATCTTGATCCGTAAAGGTTTGTTGTGTTATAACCTCAGGACTTCACTTATCGTTTGTTTGTTGTTTTGTCGTTAAGTACGTTAAATAAAAGTATGTACGCTTATCACGCTGCGCCTTGGTCCGTGTCTTCAGTCAACGATCGTGACAGAGAGAGAAAGATAAGCAGTGATGGGGAGTATTTCTACCCTTTCTGTAGTAGGCTGGTCCTGATGAGCACCAGCAGACTCTGGCCTCACTACAAACATCCCTGACCTGGGATCAGAGAGGGGAGGTATGGGGGGTCACGACTATAATGTCACATCTCCCTGTAGACTGACTGGACTACAGTGACTTCCACCACATAGACAGTCATTCCCTGAAGAAGTTATACGTTGCCATCCAATGTTTATCTACTAGCGTCATAGGTAGTAACTGTGGGTTAATGGTTTAGCTACGGAAGAACAGTCTGAGCATTACATTTACATTTTAGTAACGCTCTTATCCAGAGCGACTTACAGTTAGTGAGTGCATACATTTTTCATACTGGCCCCCCGTGGGAATCGAACCCACAACCCTGGCGTTGCAAGCGCCATGCTCTACCAACTGAGCTACAGAAGGCCCATGAGCATAAATTACAAAAGGAAAGAAAATATATTTTAGTCATTGTACTTCCAACAACAGACTGTGTACAGTCTATGTATACATACATGTATGTTGAAAGTCCATATTTATGCTGTGTTTGAACCATACTCTGTGTGACCCAGATGTCCCGACTGACCTGAAAAAGAGCCACCGCCTGCCGCTACTGTATTGATGTCTAGCTAAGGGGCCTGCAGGGTGACGGCGGCCGTGGTGGCCTCAAACACATGCTCATACTGCCCCGCGTAGCGACTCACATCCGTAGAGGTGCCTAGAGGGGGCACAGCGTATCTGTTAGGGGCATGAAGAGTGTAAAAGAGCACAAGTTCCTCCATCAGCCCAGTATTAGCGAAATGCTTTGGAATTTTGTCATCAAGGGCTTCAAAGAAGCCTTTGTCGGACATCCATCAATACCATTCCCCATTATTCTGTGTCATGCTTCCTGCTACGATGTGTGTAACCTCCTATGATCCTGTTCACTCCTTCACTTCACACCTCTCTCTCAATGTCAACAACCCCTTAACCCCTTTCCCTGTCCCCATGCTATATAGACCGCATTTGGCCCCTTCCCCCCTGCCACTCTTTAGGTGTAATTGTTGCTGTTTGCTTCCTGTCTATTATGGCTGACCTCCCCACACCCCACTTCAGATCTCGCCCCACCCCCCAATGTCGAACCCGATGACGGGCTTCTTCTCTGTCTGGCTGTAGGAGGTGATGGCGTAGCCCATCACGCCCCCGGCAGGCCCAGACAGCACTGCCCGGGTCCCACAGAAATGCTCCATGGGGGTGAGACCTCTATCAGACTACATGAAGAGAACACACATCCTACAGGAGAGAGAGGAGGGGAGTACAGCAGGTTGAGGGAGGTAGTAATTTCAAGGTGTGTATACATCAGGTGACTGTGAGAGTATGATCTCTCTGCATACTATGAGTGCTAAGTAAATACAACTACATAACATTATGCTAATAGAACAAAACACACACATGTATTTACAAAACCACAGTGACTGACTTCCAGGTGCCCCTGAAGCCAGAAGTGAAGCATTTCAAGTACTGGCGGATTTTAGGTGTTGAGGTAGGCATTGGCGCAGATGGTGTACCCACGTGGCACAGCCCTCACCATGGGCATGACCTCACAGGACAGGGACACCTGGGCGAAACCCAGCCTGCGTGCCAATGACCCCACGACCTTCTCATGGCCAGGCAACCTGACATACAGAGAGAGTCAGCTCACACATCAGTTTCATTCCATTATGTTCCTGTCCAACATACAGTACTGAGAGGCAGTCTGCAAAGTTGACTCATTAACTCATACTGCTTTGAACAGTGTTTTTTTTGTTAAGCCTTTCTGTGCACTCCCTCCTATTGAAATGTGTGTTCTGTGATTATCGGGCATGGCATTAAATCCTGAAGGTGCCTTTTCAATGTACTTACATCCAGTGACTTTAATTACTTTACAGTTTGAAACTAGGAGTTGAAAGAACCCTGTAAGTTAACAAAGTAGAAGTCCCAGAGTGGAAGGATATAAGAAAAGGGAGTAAAACTCAAGTATCTAGACGGCAGGAGAAAAGGGAGTAAAACTCAAGTATCTAGACGGCAGGAGAAAAGGGAGTAAAACTCAAGTATCTAGACGGCAGGAGAAAAGGGAGTGAAACTCAAGTATCTAGACGGCAGGAGAAAAGGGAGTAAAACTCAAGTAACTAGACGGCAGGAGAAAAGGGAGTGAAACTCAAGTATCTAGACGGCAGGAGAAAAGGGAGTAAAACTCAAGTAACTAGACGGCAGGAGAAAAGGGAGTGAAACTCAAGTATCTAGACGGCAGGAGAAAAGGGAGTAAAACTCAAGTAACTAGACGGCAGGAGAAAAGGGAGTAAAACTCAAGTATCTAGACGGCAGGAGAAAAGGGAGTGAAACTCAAGTATCTAGACGGCAGGAGAAAAGTGAGTGAAAGAGAAGGAGAGGCCCAGTTTCCTCTACCATTCTCTGTCCATGACCTTCCACTATAGGCTTGGGCGATATACTGTTTATACCGACGGTATGATTTTCAATACCGTTTTAAAAAATCCCCTACTGCTTATAACTAAGTTAAGTATAAGAATAAGAAATGTAAGATGTGTCAAATAAATTATATGCAGCTCAAGGCTCCAGCTATGCATTTGGTTTGCTAACTTGCTAGCTAAGTGGCTTGATATCAAGATCAAGCTTCTTGGTTACAACAGAGACATTCAATCCCCTCCTGGATCAAGATCCCTGTTGCCTAAATTGTTTTGTGCATAAATAGCTTTGAAATAGCGCCCCTTGTGTGCACTTCCAGTAATACAGTTTACCCCGGTATGGTACAGAAACGGTATAATACCGTAGACCCCTGTACGGTACAGAAATGGTATGATACCGTAGACCCCTGTACGGTACAGACATGGTATGATATGTAGACCCCTGTACGGTACAGAAATGGTATGATACCGTAGACCCCTGTATGGTACAGATACCGTAGACCCCTGTATGGTACAGAAACGGTATGATACCGTAGACCCCTGTATGGTACAGAAATAACCGCCCATCCCTACCTTCCACATAGACCACAATTATCCAAAACCAAGAAGAACAGGCAATCTGACACTAGACCCTAGACACAGACACACACACACACACACACCACACCCCCCTAAACCTAATTTGAGGGGCGACAATGGCTAACATGACCTTAGCTACTTTTGGTAATGTCAGGTCAATTAGCTATCTGTTGAGAAAACTAAGCTGGATAGCTGAGTTAACATTGCTTTTCCAACTTATAGAAGATACATAATTTATTTTTGAGGAAAAGGGCAAGAGATGCAGCACAGCAAACACAGAGATGGTTCTTCTATTTGCAGGAGTAAGTGAATAGATATTGTGTGTGTGTGTTTACAATACAATTATTCGGCATCTAGATAGATGGGTTGGCTGACAACATCATGAAAACGATGTGTGCGCTTCCATGGGGCAGAAGTCAGCCTGTTGTTGTGATTCTGGATGGCCAGATAGCTAGCAAGAATGACAAGAAACTGCCATGTGGGGAATCATAAGTGGCTCATTTCAGCTTGTTTCATCTTGTTATTGATACCATGTCTTGTTTTGAGGTGTTGTGACTGATTTCATGTCAAGGCTAATATGGCAAAAATTCGCTAGCTAGTTAATCTACAACTGTAACTAAGTATTTGAGAGACAACAAGTGGTACTTGTGCAAATGTATTTATGTTTTCAATAAACATTGGAGACAAAATATAGCTTACATATTGTCAACAATCTAAAGCCAACCTCATCTGTTTTTCCCCATGGTTGCGCACGTCTCATTTTTGTTGCTAAACAACCAACATGTCTATAGAGACACAGAGGAGCGTACAGTAGAACATAGAGAAAGCGAGACCCAACCAAATCATGAGACCCACAATTACACCCAACCAAATCATGAGAAAACAAAATTAGAATTACTTGACACATTGGAAAGAATTAACAAAAAAACAGAGCAAACTAGAATGCTATTTGGCCCTAAACAGAGAGTACACAGTAGCAGAATACCTGACCACTGTGACTGACCCAAACTTAAGGAAAGCTTTGACTATGTACAGACTCAGTGAGCATAGCCTTGCTATTGAGAAAGGCCGCCGTAGGCAGACCTGGCTCTCAAGAGAAGACAGGCTATGCGCACACTGCCCACAAAATGAGTTGGAAACTGAGCTGCACTTCCTAACCTCCTGTCAAATGTATGACCATATTAGAGACACATATTTCCCTCAGATTACAGAGATCCACGAAGAATTCGAAAACAAACCCAATTTTGATACTCCCTTATCTACTGGATGAAAAACCACAGTGTGCCATCACAGCAGCAAGATTTGTGACCTGTTGCCACAAGGAAAGGGCAACCAGTAAAGAACAAACACCATTGTAAATAAAACCCATATTTATGTTTATTTATTTTCCCATTTGTACTTTAACTATTAGCACATTGTTACAACACTGTATATATACATACAGTTTTTCTCAATTGCTAAAACACAATTTCTGAAACCTTGCTCCATTTCCTGAAAACATTAAACACAAAACCTCATCTTCAAGCACTATTTACAAAACCTCTGACTCCTCTCGCAAAATGAAACATTCGCCTCAAAACAGTTTTACCGGTGTTCAAAATCAAACACTGCTCTCAAATCATAAACAAAGTGATCAAAATGATATACACTCTCAAGCAGTCAGTAAACAATACACCGAAAAATAAAAAACACATTGTTCAAAACATACAGTTCTCAGGGTGAAGTACATTTTTAATCTCAAAACAAATTTCATATTTTTCCGTCATTGTCTTTTGATGAACGAAAACATGTTCTATCATAGTAGCTCAAAATGTATCAGAAATGACTACTCTGCTTTGCTCTTTGAGATTTAGTTTTTTGTTCTTCCTCCTCCTTGTACCCCTATGTTTACAGTACTGTACCCTGCATCTCACAAACTTGTCCTTTGTCTCTGTGATACTGTAATTATTGTTCTTTGTTGATATGAACCTGCAACCAGTCAAAATCTATTGAGCAGTCAGTACTGTTAACAAATGGAAAGCACAATGTTCAGGGCCATACAATTTGTCCATTGTACAGTATACAGCCTACAATGCACTGTACTACAGTATACAATACTAAAAGGGACAAAAATCAAAGGAGTAAACATGTGATCAATGTGCTTCTTCTTGTCTTTGGGCTGGGTCAGGCCAGAGCACTTTGTTGACATCACAAGCAATATTGTCCCTCCTGAGGCAACGGGGGAAGAAGCCTCTTGTGTGCCGTATCCAGCCCTGACATGATTCCTCACCTATATCACCACAGGCTAAATCAATGGCTTGCAGCAGATTTACTCTGGGGTTGTCTATCATACACTTTCCATCTCCAAGAGGAGAAAAACTCCTCAATCGTATTCAGGAAAGGCGAGTATGGAGGGAGGTACAAGTTCATAAACTGCCCATTGATGTTTCTGAATGTACACTTACTTGCATATACTGAGCTCGCAGTTCTTTCACCCTTGGTGAGTTGCGCTCAAAAGGTACTCTGTATACTCGTTTCATTCGCATCCTGTTACGATGGAGGACACGGTCAATTGTGGAAATGCTCCCACTGTCGATTCCCTGGAAGTGTGTGTTGTCTTGTATCACCCGTTCCTGGATTTCTCTGAGTCGTATTGCATTATCTTGAAGGACCATGCCAACTATAACGGCCTCTTGCTCCCGAGTGAATATAGCTGTCCATCCACCTGCATGTGGCAGCCTTGCAATTCTACAAAAAGTAGTTGTGCAGTTACAAAACATATTCATGCAGTACAATACAGTGGGGAAAAAAAGTATTTAGTCAGCCACCAATTGTGCAAGTTCTCCCACTTAAAAAGATGAGGGAGGCCTGTAATTTTCATCATAGGTACACGTCAACTATGACAGACAAATTGAGAGAAAAAAAATTCAGAAAATCACATTGTAGGATTTTTTATGAATTTATTTGCAAATTATGGTGGAAAATAAGTATTTGGTCACCTACAAACAAGCAAGATTTCTGGCTCTCACAGACCTGTAACTTCTTCTTTAAGAGGCTCCTCTGTCCTCCACTCGTTACCTGTATTAATGGCACCTGTTTGAACTTGTTATCAGTATAAAAGACACCTGTCCACAACCTCAAATAGTCACACTCCAAACTCCACTATGGCCAAGACCAAAGAGCTGTCAAAGGACACCAGAAACAAAATTGTAGACCTGCACCAGGCTGGGAAGACTGAATCTGCAATAGGTAAGCAGCTTGGTTTGAAGAAATCAACTGTGGGAGCAATTATTAGGAAATGGAAGACATACAAGACCACTGATAATCTCTCTCGATCTGGGGCTCCACGCAAGATCTCACCCCGTGGGGTCAAAATGATCACAAGAACGGTGAGCAAAAATCCCAGAACCACACGGGGGGACCTAGTGAATGACCTGCAGAGAGCTGGGACCAAAGCCTACCATACTAACAAAGCCTACCATCAGTAACACAC